TGTGTCAAAGTGAAAATGATTCCAAAACATCACAATTCATGAACGCTCACCGGAGACTTGCATTTTTACCAGGTGAAGTCCCCTGTACAGATTCTGTCTGCACTGATTATGTGTCATCCCTGGTCCAAACAGAACTTCCCTCCAATTCCAGCTGTGGGCCGCAGACAGATGCTGGCTAGGTCAAGACAGGTCAGGTCTGGATCTAGACATTGGGGCTGATTCTCTCATCTGCTCCCAACAATTATCCTGATGATACTAAGGGAGCAGGGATGTGTCCAGTTCAAGGATCAACATTTGGATGTAAACAGCCTGAGCTGAGTAGACTAGGGACAAAGGTAGCTATGTGGGAAAAGGATATGTAAATTGAAGGTTGGTGGGAGAAAAATCAAGGACAGAACTGGGCATGATGAATGAACCAAAGGAAGGAACATGAACAGCTTTGATGAGGCTCCCTTATAATTCCAATTCAACAATTTTACGCTACTGCACTTGAATACAATCTTTAAGTACATGGTTCTAAGCTACTTTTTTCACAATGCATGATAAGCTGAATGGTAACTAGTCAATATTTTTTCCTTGTTGTATGGTATGCACCCCAGTGTCTTATTTATTGCACACTATTCAGATCTTATTCTGAAGACAGTTATCAATTTCCTCATGGTGTTCATTATGATAATGTTGGGAGGTTTGTGTTTCACAAACGCTAATGAATTTATTGCCACAATATCCAAGTTAAATAAGGGAGTCTTATCCCCATTTATAGACAGACAACTGAAGTACAAAGAGATTAAGGTCAAAAGCTTCCATTAACTTTAGATGCCCAATCAAAGACATTTAGGGCCTAAACTTTCTGAGCACAAAGCATTCTATAGCACTTTATGGGTTTAAAGCATAGCTGCCATTTACTTCAGCTTTAGGCATGGCATTTCAGTACCTTTGCAAATCAGCCTCTTGTGTACAAACTAAGCATTCTGAAAATCAATTACAAAATTAGTCACCAAACTTCAAAAATTCTGATTCAAGTGACTTGCCAGCATCATACAGAAATTGTGGCTAAGGCAGAAACAGAACCCATCTTTTCTTTCTGCACTCCATGTCTCACTCATTGCACACCTTCCAACTTAGGCAACAAATAAGGCAAGGTCCTTCACTTCACAACCCTGATTCATCCCCAAGTCAGACCATCCTGTGCACTTACTTCAGAAAATAAAAGTATGCAACTATCACAGCACATAAGCACAAAGGGCCAACAAGTTTACCAAGGCTGTGCAAACTTAATTCCGGCTTTTCCTACCTCTGAGTATTGAATTTTGCAACTTTGATTATGTCCTTTTAACAAAATTTTCCATGAATACATGCGTTTCCCTGTGTGCAACTATATTATAATATATTAAAGAACGGCTGGAAGCACGTGTTCATTTCAAGTGAAACACTCAAGATTCCAAGGCCCAAGATGTTTTGTATTAAAAAAAGCATTACAAAAAAAAAACATAGATTTTTGAGTGTTACTTGAAATTTCACTGAATTATTTTAAAGAATTTAGAGCCTGTCTGTACTAGAGGAACCTCAATCCTAGAACACTATTAGGTATGACAACAACAAAGAAAACTGACTAGAACCCAGTTTCACTATGCAAGCTGAGTGAAATGGAAAATTTAATTAGTGTAAATAGTGAGGAATACATTAAACAAGTATTCTTTCAGTTTTAATAAGTTAGATCAGCATGACTAACACTCAAAATATAGTATTCAGACTAAATGACTAACATAATATAAGCTAATAATTATAATAATACAATTTTAGTCTTTGAATTTTCTCTATCTGAAATATTTTAAAGGCACGAAGCACATCTACATGTGCGCTTTAATGAGCAGTAGGCTATTTTAGTGTGCATTAAAGCATTACTTAAAAACAGTGCAATTCTAAATACCTATATATTTTAACATTTGATTTTAGTTTTTTTTAATCTTGGAAAATCAGAGCTCCCCCTTCACTCACCAAGATCCAGGTCTAGCTGTGGCTGTCCCCACTACTGCTTTTTGGTGCTGAGCAGCTCTGATATGCCAGTGCCCTCACCCTACCCATGCTGTTGCCCTGTAGTCCCAAGCTGTAGCTCCCCCCCACATCCCTGCTGGTGCCCCTCACTTCCAACCCTCAACCCCCTTGCCCTGCCAGTGCCCCTCACTCCCGACTCACAGCCCCCTTGCCCTGCTCGTGCTCTTCACTCTGTACCCACAGGTCCCTGACTCTCCTGGTGCTATTCACTTCTGAACCCAGACCCCACCACATCCCCTGCTGGTGCCCCTCACTTGATCCACTGCCCCCCATTCCCTAGGCCCTAGTGTGTGGGTCAGGGGCAGTGAAGGACACATGCCTCCCCAAATTTGCACACCCAGTGGCCACAGGTCTTCAGCGTGGCTGGACTAGCACTGGCAGGAGCCACCTCCATGGCCCAGTGGGCAGGATATGGCACCAGGCCCCCCACGCCAGCTGCACTACCAGCAGCATGAGGAGTAAGGGGCGGGGGAGTGGGAGTGGAAGAGCACTGTTCTCATCTCCTCCCACCACCAGCCACTCATGCGCCAAGCTGCAGCTTTATCCTGCCACCATGGCCTGGATGATGCTGCCGCTCCCCTCAGGCCACCCCCGCTGACACCCCACTCCACCTCCCCTCCAAGACAGAGCTGCAGCTTGAGGGGAATGGCGGTGGGGTCAAGCCATGGCCCCGTGGCAGGAAGCAGCAAGAGGTGAGGACAGCATGAGCTCCCCTGTTGGTTACTCCTTGTGCTGTTGGCAGCACAGATGGCTCAGGAATCCAACAGCAGCAGTGGCATCGAGCCTCACTGCTCTGCTCTGCTGCACCAGGTGGACTGGAGAACTGGCTTTTGCCTGTGCCAGTCTGGCCAGGCTGCAGCCCCATACCTGCTGTGGGTCCATAAATCTGGGGAGCCATGTGCCCCCATGCTTCCCTGACATGTTGCCTGTGCCCCCCCTGCCCCTCCAGTGAGTTGTCTGTTTCCCCCCCACATAGACTCACCCCCTGGGAGCTGTGGGAGCTCCTCTCCATGCAAGTGCATATGTAGGTGGTGCCCCCTGCCTGATAGTCCTCTTTCCCACACCCCCACCCCAACCTCAGGCAGCCCCTTCCAAGCTGGAACTCAGCCAGCCTGCAAGGAGAAACCCATGGTTTCCCGCATTTTTCCCCTCTGAAGGAGAAAATCCATGGTTTTCTTCTTTAGAGAACTATCTGGATGTGGGGGTGAAAAGCACAGTGGCAAATTTTGCCGATGACACTGAGCTGTGGGGAAGTATAACCACACATCAGGGTAGGCTGACGATCCAGGAGGACCTAGACTGGTTGGTTAGATGAGCGGAACAGAAACGGATGCTGTTCAACACCAAGAAGTGTAAAGTACTCCATCTGGGGAAGAAAAATCCACAACAAAATTACAGGCTCAGTGGTGTTAAGCTAGCTAGTACCATGTCTGAAAAGGACCTGGGGGTCATAACTGACCATAAAATGATTATGAGCCACCAGTGTGATGATAACAGTCAGCAGAGCAAACAAGAAGAAGCTGGCATGCATCAACTGATGCATCTCAAGCAAAACTAAGAAAGTTATTCTCCCACTCCACTCGGACATTGGTGAAGCTGCAGCTGGAGTACTGTGTCCAGTTCTGGGTGCCACATTTCAAGAAGAACATGGAGAAGCTTGAGAGTCTAGAGAAGAGCCATTTGTATGATTACAGGCCAGTGAAGAGCATGCCATATGAGGAAAGTCTGACAGATATGGGACTGTTCAGCCGAGAAAAGAGGAGACTTCAAGGGGATTTGGTGGCAGCTTACAAATATATCAGGGGAGAGCATCTGGGGCTAGGTGAACAAATATTCACCAAAGTGCCCCAGGGGAAAATCAGGAGCAACGGTCATGAACTCCTAGAAGAAAGTTTCAGACTAGATATGAGGAAAAACTTCTTCACGGTTCGTGTGACCAGACTCTGAAACAGTCTCCCAGCAGGGGTGGTGCAGGCACCTACCCTAGAGATCTTCAAAAGGAGATGGGATGCACACTTTGCTGGGCTTATTTGACCCCAGAAGTCTTTCCTGCCCAGAGCAGGGGGCTAGACCCGATGATCTCACAAGGTCCCTTCCAGCCCTAAACGTCTGTGAATCTGTAAAATCCAGTTTTTTCACGGCAAATGGAAAACATGGATCCCTGCTGATATGACACAATACAGCAGCTAAAAGGCTTCTCTAGAGGCAGTTGATGCCCTCCACCTTACCTGACCCCCACAAACACCCATCAAACAAAAGGGGAGAAAATGAAAATGTGCACAACAGAAATTAGACGAATAGTGATATAAACTGGCATTGTTGACAGAGTAACCATGATCCGTACTTTGCAGTCACATTAAAGTTGTTAAATAGGGTAAAGTATAAACGATGAGGGCCTTAAAGACAGCAGCATGCATCTAAGATGGTGAAGGGATAACAAGTAGAAGGAAACAAAGAGGAAGATAACAGAGTCAGAGTGATGAGCTAAAATGAGTATTTTAGCATCAGCATTTTAAGAAAATCAAAGGAAGAAGTAGCTAGATTGTCTAAGCCAGAAAGGAGATGTTTATGGTAGGGACACAAGTAACGAGAGCCTTGTGGAGAAGCTGGACACAGGTCAAATAAAGGAACTCTGCATTACAAGAGGGTGATCCCACTCTATCACAAACAATGCAGAGAAGTGACCAACAGACCTGCCACTCTGGAAATCCACCGATTTAAACCACACATTGATGGGCAGGGAGAGAAGCACAGATGGACTACAGCAGCCACGTCCCATTCAATGCCTTGAACGTCTTAAGGAGGGGGAATGACTTTATAGGCTGCCAAACCTTCCTACAGACATATCAGCCATTGTGCTGAATCAACAGGCAAAGCCATAAATAAGTAAATAAATCAATAAATAAACTCAAGAGCTATTTGCAGGATTTTCATGTTGTACATACCAAATCCTCTGCTGTCACTGGTTGTCCATTTTTGTCATTGGCCACCACCATTTTTCCCAGCCTCTCTTTCATATCTGCCAGGCTAGTGGTCAGTGCTAAAATTGCCATAATTTCACTTGCAACTGCAATGTCAAACTGAGCCTGTTAAAAAACAACAAAAAAACCAGGAGAGTAAACCAAACCAGATACAGGCTGGACAGTTTCAGAGAAAAATTTTAAAAATATATCTACTATCAAGATAAAAATCATAGGAACAAACCTGAGATTATTCAAACAGAAATAAATAGAAATTAGATACTTCTAAAGTTAACTGTTACTGTTATTAGTTTGTGGCTTAGTCCTTCAACTCCCATTGCCTTAATAGACCAAGTCTTCTGTCAGTGACATTAAACTGATTAGATTCACTTTCCGCTTCTTGTGCACTAGCCCAGTTCTGTTTATACTTGGCTTTCTAACAACTTTAGGAATGTTTACATTTAAGTAAAAATATTTTCCTGAAAAACATTTACATTCTTATAAGCGTCTGTAATTTTTATTTTACTCCAATTCTTGATTTGGAGGCTACCCTACTTGACAGTGTTCTTGGACTGATGATATAAAACTAATACTTTATTATCCTCATAGATTAAGAAAAATAAATCATTTTGAAAACCACAAGAGACATATGCAATACCAGCCCTATTCTTCTTGTAGAAATAAAACAGAAGTAGTTCACAGTGATTCAGATCATGGGCCTAACTCTACAGACTCTTGTTCACTGACAAAGCTTAGAAGTCAAGATACCAAGCCATCTCAGATATACTTATGAAGATCTGCTATTTCTATAAAGAGTGCAGTATCAGGCTCCTGGGTAGCTCTCTACTTTGTATATTTTATGCTGAGAAATAAAAATTCTAAATCGACCAAAACTCTCTCTTTAAATTACTGTGTATAGGAATATTAAGATGTACCTGCAGTAATTTCTAATAACCTACACAAAGAGCTACATCCAGGTACTCCTCCAGAAAGGCTTCCCTCTTTTAATCCATGAGTCTCCCCCTAGGTACCATACAGATTTTATAACCCAGTTACAGCAAATTAATTGCAATGTAATTCAATTAATGTATATAAATAGTCCCAAGCACCTACTTGTTATCTTAAAGTCAAACCTTTGCTTGAGTATTTCTTGGCACTGAGGTAATAGTTAGGGGTAGTTACATATGCTGATGAATAGAGATTACTCCTGTAAGTAGAGTTGCAGAATTTGGATCCAAATGAAAATAATGCTAAAATGACAAACTAAAGATTTTCAATTTTTAGTTTGAGCTAGATTGGGGTTTTTTTGTGTTTGATTTTTTAAACTAAGTAGAAAGCTCTATGTACAAAAGCACAAGTTACATAGTTAACAGTGTAATGGACAGGTTGCCCTTGAACTAACAAATTCTCAAGTTAAGAATGATGAGCCACTAACTCATCTTTTCATAACTGAAAGATATTGAATGAGTCTGAAATCTAGTTGAGATTTCACATACCTTTGATGCTGTAGAAACATCTAAGTTTATCAGCATGATTAAAGAATACAGTTTAAGAATACAGCTTAAGATTTTATCTTATATTTATATAGTCAGTTCTGAACTGGTATAAGGACTCACTCACAAGGATCTACCATATTTACCCAAACCTAAAATGACTCTGAATTTAGGATAACCCCCGCACCTCCCCAAGAATTAGATTCTATACATGGAAAATTTATTAATTTGTTATAATTTTTCATATATAGAATCTAATTTTTGAAGGCTCATTTTAAATTCATTCCCCATTTTTGCTGCAAGCAGCTGCAGGGGGACAGGTGGCGGTAGGGCAGGTGGCAGGGCAGCCAAGTGGCCTGACCCCTACCCCTTGCTGCCTGTTCCCTGCCCATACTTGCTCCTCCAACTGTCTACCCATCCTGGTGCCTGCACATTTCACGTCTGCCCCCTGACCTGCCCTCTCTTGCAGCCGTCAGTGCGATGCTGTAGCCAGTAGGGCAAACAATACTCTGGCATGCATCAACTGATGCATCTCATGTAAACCCAAAGAAGTGATTCTTCCACTGTACTCAGCATTGGCGAGACCACAGCTGGACTGCTGCGTCCAGTTCTGGGCAACGCACTTCAATAAGGTCATGGCAAAAATTGAGAGAGTCCAGAGAAGAGCCACCTGTATGATAAGAGACTTGCAAGGCAGACCATACGAGAGGCTGAGGTACTTAGGCCTCTTCAGTCTAAAAAAGGCTGAGAGGGGACTTGGTAGCAGTGTACAGCTACATCAGGGGAATACATTAAGAGCTCAGTGAACAATTGTTCACCAGGCCACCCTTGGGGAAAACCAGGAGTAATGTCCACAAACTCCTGGAAGACCACTTCAGACTAAACTCTAGGAAAAACTTTTCCACAGTCAGGGTGTCCAGACTGTGGAATAAGCTCCCCCCAGAGGTGGTGCAATCACCTACCCTGGAAATCTTCAAGACAAGACAGGACAGTCACCTTGCTGGGGTCACCTGACCCCAGTTGTCTTTCCTGCCTAGTGCATGATATTGTGAGGTCCCTTCCAGCCCCTAACAATCTACGAAACCCTTCCACCTGCTCCCCTCTGTTACTGGCCCCCTTCTACCTGCTCCCCTGTGCTTGCACTCCCTGATGCCTGCCCCTCCCAGTGGTGTCTGCATCCCCAGTCACCTGTCCCCCTTATCACTTGCCCCCCATGCTGCCTCCTCTTCTCCACCCTCTAGGGCCCCCTCATCACTGCTGCTTACCTTCCCTTTGCAGCTGACCCCAATCTGGCTGAGAGCAGGGAGCATGGAGCAAGTGCTGTCTCCAACTGTACCCTGGCCATGAGGCAGTTGTGGTGGCAGTAGCTTCTACCCCAGTCCCAGAGCTAGGGCCAGGGCTGCAAAGAGGAAGTAAACAATGGCAGGGAGCATAGGCAAGGGAAGCAGAGGCTGCAGGAGGCAGGGGCAGCAGCTGCCACTCCAAATCTAACCACAGGCTTGGGGTCAGAGTCAAAACTGTCCCCATACCTTATACTTGAATCCAATATGAGGGACTTTCCCTCGCAACATTGAAAGCAGGGCGGGACTCATCTTAGATTTCAGTAAAAGCAGTAACTGCAGAATCAAGGTCATAATTCACATAGCACACTTTAGAAACCACAACCTATGACTTCCATAAAATGCAAATCCCTGCCTATTGTGCTCTGTCTTTCTATACACATCACTGATTTTCAAAGTGTTAGAACACTCCAAATATTTATAATATGCATCTATTGAAATACAAGATCTTGTTTTAATTATATCACTGACTACACTGTGAAAGGAAGTTTCATTAACTATTCTTTCTATACGAAAGCAGGGTAAGACATGATATACAACCAGTCTAACAGTGTCAAAGTTGAATACAAGAAAGAAAGAGGTTCATGTAAAACATGGACATGGTTATTTTAATATTTTAGCCAATTAAGGACCAATGCATAATACCCTAATGCTGAGCAGTATCTGCCCTTGCATGCACTTTTACTGAAAACAAAAGGGCAATTTATAAAGTAAAGAGCTGCTTCTAAGGGTGGTAAAATATGGCCCTGAACTAATAATTACAGCAAAATAATTGTATCAGATCTAAAAGCAGGAAAATGGTCTCTTCCAAGCACTGGAAGGGGGTACCACAAATACAGTATTTTTTAGTACTTGTCTCACCATCTACAAACTTACCAGGGGGGGACCAGTGGGGAATGGGAGAGACCCTGTCCCCCTGAGCACCTCCCAGAGTAACAAGGAATAACGGCCATAAGTTGTTTGAGAGTAGATTCAGGCTGGACATTAGAAGACACTATTTCACAGTCAGGACAGCTAGGATCTGGAGCCAGCTTCCAAGGGAAGTGGTGCTGGCTCCTACCTTGGGGGTCTTTAAGAGGAGGCTTGACAATTACCTAGCTCAGGTCATATTAGCCCAGTATTCTCTCCTGCCCAGGGCAGGGGGGTCAGACTTGATGATCTACTTAGGTCCCTTCCAACCCTACAGCTATGATTCTGTTAATATTCGTTAATTTTGAATTTTTTATGCATGTCAAAGAAGGCGCGTGTTGAAAGGGAAGTCTCTTCCACACACACATTAAGTTACAGTGACTACATATCAATTTCCAAATATGTTCAAAATACTTCAATAGGTGAAAAAAATAATCAGTCTAAATAGGAAAGTTAAAACCTGCATATTACACTCTTATACCTTCATCTCACATCTGTAATTAGAAGACTAACCCAGAACACCACTGGGAAACAAAACTGGGGGTGAATTTTCTGAAAGCCATGAGGTCTTCTCTATATGGGGATGTTACGTTACGGCAAATATATTTAGTACACTTTCGAGTGCTTGGGTGCCTGCAAAACTAGTTTTTAGACAATTATACTGTGATTTGGCATCCTAAGTTGCAGTAAATAATCCTTGGAACAGGAGTTACTTCTACTTCCAGTTGAACTTTCCTGCTAGTTTGCTTTATGGCTCGTGTGCACACATTTCTAACTACCATGCTTCTGGAAGTCCTCCAACAACAGCCCCGCACCTCACTGATTCATATATGGGTTAACCTGATTTGGTATGTGTGTGGCTTGTACTGCTCTGGGGCTGAGCTGTTAGGAAGCATAGTTAGCTCAGTAGTGATTGCACCTCATCTGTGGGGGGCCAGCAGGGGGTGCTCCAGCACTGAGACACCCACCTCACGGTGCCTGGCCACCTTCCTGGTTCCGAGTGTCTCCCTGGGAGCGCCTCACATCTAGTCAACCCCCTTCCTGGAGCACAACCGCTAGCCTGGGGGTACTGCCACCACCATCCAGGGTCTGGCCTGATCCTGGCACTGCGCCCCATGGGAAATACAGGCCTAGTAGTCCTTGAGGGTACATGACCCACTTCAAGAACTTGGGGTGCTTCTCTCAGACTGAAGCACAAATAGTGGTCTCGCTTAGTCAGCCGAACCAAGGTGACCCTGAGGCATGATCTAATCCCTCTCCCAATAAGTCTCCTATGCTAGGTACAAAGGAGAACTTCATTGGTTACAAGGAGTAGGTTTGCAATAGGGTACAGGGTACAGCAATATCAGAGAAATCCCACAGAGCAAACAGGGTGGCTGGGTAG